ACCTGCAATTAAGAAACAACAACTCAGGAAAACCTTGTGCAGGCGGATGTTGCGAGCAATGGCGTCTGTGGTAATATTGGTTAGGAAAACATCCATTCCTATGGCACAAGAGTTTAGTTCACATAAATCCCTTCCCCCTTTCTTCTACTAAAGTCTTGACTTAGTCCAGCAAGAATGATGGATCAGTGCTCATGGGGTTGTCAAGCTTGCTCTTTTCCTTGGAACAAAACTCCAGTAGATCTCACAGTATCTGGAGTACCTGTTGATCTTGCGCATTACAACCAATAACTGAGGCCCAAAATTTTCAAGGACTTCATTGGCTGAGAAGAAACCAACTCACTTTTTCCAGATTGGCCCATTGGGCAAGTGGGTGAGGCACTCTTCCACAAATCTCAGCCCACCTTCATATTCCTGCCTTCTTATTTTCACTGAGTCCAGGGAATGGCACTGGCTGTCATTTTACTACTCCTTAGTAGTAAGTGTTGCCCTTTGTGGAACTGAGAAGGGAGGAGGGTGGATGGCAAAACTAGAATGTAATTGGCTCTGGCTCCTTCTACTGTTGGCACCTCTGCCTTCCTACCGATCAGTCCCAAGGAGCACCAGCTACCACTGATTTTTCCAATCATTTCAGTGGGCTGTCAGGTAGCATTGTGTGCTTCAGTGCTAACATTGGAATCCAGACATCTGAATAGTGGGGGAGGTATACCCTTCTGTCTGAGGCACACCCGCCCTTCCCTGCAGGGCTTTTTCCCCTCCATCAACCATGTAAGATCCATGTTGGAAGTGTTCCTGTGTGTCAAGGGAGTTGGAGAGCCATGGTTGCTGAGCTGTGCTGCTGCTGGCTGAGTGTTTGCATTTCACTCATCTTGTTCTTGCAAGGATTTATTCTCATAGATTAGTTGCCATGCAACAAGTGCACATTCACGTGACTCATAATCATCTGGGTATTCCCTGTGATAATTTGCGCATTATTATACATGCAAATTACCCCAAAAGGCAGTTAAAAGCAAGCTGGCTTTTGTGTTGCTGGGATTGAAATGTGGAGGTTCACAAGAGTACATCTCCCCAAATTGTAAAGCAGCCCTATTTACTGCTTACATGAGATCAAGGGCACAAGTCAGCAAAAGCAGGTGAATTTTACTACAGTATTTTTCAACCTGTTCTCAAAGCTAATTCAGAGCAAGCCTGCTCTCCACACGGCCCACCTTATTTAACAACTGTGAAGCTGCAGTACCCTCTCGTGGCCAATTTACATATCACATTTAGGGCTCATCAGCACAGCTTTTTAAGCACAGCTTATGTGTCTGAGTGCTTCTTCTTCTTCTTCTTCTTCTTCTTCTTCTTCTTCTTCTTCTTCTTCTTCTTCTTCCCCAGCTTTCCACGGGAAAACCTGCTCTTTAATGCTGAATGAGAACAAACAGAAATCCAGGTTTTTCATGGATTGCCATTTGCTCCGACTGGGTTTATGCAGGAAAGCGCTGGAGGGGAAAAAATACTCAGACAAGGCGTTTTAAAGTGCAGACCTCTACTTAGAAACATGGCACAAGTCTGGATGATCCCTAAGTGACAACTGCAGACATGGCAGACATGTTAATTTAGTTCTCCTCCAAGGAGATCAGAGGATTAGCCCATTTTAACCTCACCTTAACCCTGTGAGGTGATTCAGGCTGAGAGAGGAAGGGTGACCCAATGGCATCCATGGCTGCAACTCCCAGTTAAAGGTAAAGGTACCCCTGCCCGTACGGGCCAGTCTTGACAGACTCTAGGGTTGTGCGCTCATCTCACTCTAGAGGCCGGGAGCCGGCGCTGTCCGCAGACACTTCCGGGTCACGTGGCCAGCGTGACAAAGCTGCTCTGGCGAGCCAGAGCTGCACACGGAAACGTCGTTTACCTTCCTGCTAGTAAGCGGTCCCTATTTATCTACTTGCACCCGAGGGTGCTTTCGAACTGCTAGGTTGGCAGGCGCTGGGACCGAGCAACGGGAGCGCACCCCGCCGCGGGGATTTGAACCGCCGACCATGCGATCGGCAAGTCCTAGTCGCTGAGGTTTTACCCACATCGCCACCTGCGTCCCATTTACATTTACTCCCAGTTAGTCTGCATTTTATAGTGAAGCAGCCTGATTCAGGTAGCACAGTGGTCAGGGGTGGAAAGATGCAGGCAGTAACTCATGTCTGAATGGCGTGGCAAGACTTTTAAAGAGTTGGTTCTAGTGGAGTGGAATTGAGGCTGAGTTTCAGGCAGCATAATGTAATGAGCAATATCATCACACAGAAGCATTTAGGCTTTGCTTTGGGTATATTGGGACGCGGGTGGCGCTGTGGGTAAAAGCCTCAGCGCCTAGGACTTGCCGATCGAAAGGTCGGCGGTTCGAATCCCCACGGCGGGGTGCGCTCCCGTCACTCGGTCCCAGCGTCTGCCAACCTAGCAGTTAGAAAGCACCCCCGGGTTCAAGTAGATAAATAGGGACCGCTTACTAGCGGGAAGGTAAACGGCGTTCCGTGTGCTGCGCTGGCTCGCCAGATGTAGCTTGTCACGCTGGCCACGTGACCCGGAAGTGTCTTCGGACAGCGCTGGCCCCTGGCCTCTAGAGTGAGATGAGCGCACAACCCTAGAGTCTGTCAAGACTGGCCCGTACGGGCAGGGGTACCTTTACCTTTACCTTACCTTGGGTATATTAAAAATTATTTGGATGTAGATCAAATGACTCTGAATGTTTAAGGTTGAGTTTAGGCATTAGGAAAATGGCTTTTAATTGGGAGAGGGGAGTTAGGAACATTTATGATATATACCCCACCTTTCTGTGAAATAACTTAGCTTGGTGTACATGGTGCCCTCTCCCACACTTTTATCCTTGCAAAAAAAAACACCCTGTGAAGTAGGTTAAACTGATAGATAGTTACTGGCCCATAATTGGTCACTGAGCATAATAGCAGACTAAAAACTTGGACCCCTATTTCTCAGGTCTTAGTCCAACACTCCAACCACTACACCACTCTGGCCCAGCCTGCTGGTTCACACACGCTACAATTGCTGAGACAAGCTATTGCAGAGTAAATGAATATAGCAGGTAGAGGAGAGCCTTCAACAAGTGTTAAATGAGGGGCTCAGGTAGTCTTACTTTCCTACAAAAAAATGGGGGTTACATGTATCCCTGTTTCCATCTGAAATGTTGGAGAACACTTTAAGTCAGCTCCAAGCCCAGGCGGGGCCCCCCTTATATTGATGGCCTTAGCTGGCAGTCCAAGGGTAGCTAGCAGCTCCCATTTCAGTTCCCCACAATGCCCCGGAACACCTGACGCAGTGTCATTCTGGGGCATCATTGGAAATTAAAATGGAGGCCACAGCATGCAGGGCCCAATGCTGATGTCAATGCTGGAGAGTCCTACTGCCTTAGGACACTTGATGTTGGACTAAGTTTCATTATGACTCACCAAGTCTCAGAACTGGAAATGTTTTGAATTGCAGAGCTCAGCTTTGGTACGTGCATGCCAGTAACAAGATACTGCCTCAAAATGTATATGGAGCGCATTTGCCTCACCACTGACCATCCACAATCCCCCACCAAACATCTGACCTCTCCACCAGGTGTCTAGACTAGAGACAGGGCCCCTGGTGCAACAGGAAGTTCCACAGGGCTTACTTCTTGAGCAAGCATGTTTATGATTGTAGGGTTGCATACCCTAACAGCGCATATGCAACGTTTGTGGGCATATGCGTGGATGAGAGTGCTAGGGACAAAGATGTACACACACGAATACCCCCAACTCAAGGGATTTATCTTTCAGAGGGATGCCAAGTGAAAAACAGGTTCCCCCACCTTGAACAGTTGTTCAGAATGGAGCATTTCAGTCTGTCGTACCAGTAGCCCTGTCCTCTTTGGAGGAGAACCTGAGGGACGACTATTCTAGTAACCCACACTAACGGAAGTGTAACAAGGCATCCCCAAAGGCAAAAAAGAGGGGATAAAATGGGTACTGTGATGTAGGGTTGCCATTATTTTGAAGAGCAAAAAAGAGGACACATTTGCCAACTTCTACTTTTAACTATAGGGACGTGGGTGGCGCTGTGGGTAAAACCTCAGTGCCTAGGACTTGCCGATCGCATGGTCGGCGGTTCGAATCCCCGCGGCGGGGTGCGCTCCCATCGTTCGGTCCCAGCGCCTGCCAACCTAGCAGTTCGAAAGCACCCCCGGGTGCAAGTAGATAAATAGGGACCGCTTACCAGCAGGAAGGTAAACGGCGTTCCGTGTGCTGCGCTGGCTCGCCAGATGCAGCTTGTCACGCTGGCCACGTGACCCGGAAGTGTCTGCGGACAGCGCTGGCTCCCGGCCTATAGAGTGAGATGAGCGCACAACCCTAGAGTCTGGCAAGACTGGCCCGTATGGGCAGGGGTACCTTTACCTTTTTACTTTTAACTATGGATCGCTATGACGACTCTCATTTTACATTCCCATGAGAAAGAGGACGTGTCCTGGAAAAAAAGAGGGCATATGGCAACCCTATGAGCAAGGGACTGACAACCAGAAAATCCTCCTGCTAAACGAGCAGTGCGGGCACATGAGGCCGGGGGTCGAGGAGGGAGTGCACAGCCCCGTCTTTTCTGGCCGCCCCAGGACTTGGGGGGTCGCTCCTGTCGTTCTGCAACAATTACAGCATTCAGGGCTGCTTTCCTTATCCCCGTTGCCTTTCCCATAGCTCATCTAGAACCCCACCCGGACTTGAATATTGGCGGAGCGCAATGACTTGAATATTGGCGGAGCGCAATCCACAAATTCTGCAGGCTTTTGCAGCTGGGGCAGCTGTCAGCGCGTCCCAACGGAGCCTGCCAGATGGCTATCGCGATAAAAGCCTCCTGGGAGTCTGCGCCCTCCTAGTCCAGAGACAGGAGGCCTCTGATTCCCGGCATGCAGCGGAAAGGCATGACGCAAATGCTCCGCGACGGCAACGTCACCAACAGCTGCCGCGGCGCGATCAGCAGAGGGTGCCGCGGCGGCGGCGGCGGCGTTGCCACCATCGCCCCTGCAGCAGCAGCACCTGGCGGGAGCGAGGGCGGCGGCGGCGTCGCTGCTGTTCCGGTGGCCCGTCGGGCGGCGCTGGGAGGGCCGGGGGGATGGCGGAGCCGGGCGGGGCGTCGTCCGGCACGGGCGGAGGCGGCGGGAGCTCGTCGGGGCCTGGAGCGACGGACCCGGCCTCGCTGCCCCCTGGCGACGCGCAGCTCATCGCCCTCATCGTGGGGCAGCTCAAGAGCCGCGGCCTCTTCGACGCCTTCCGCAGGGACTGCCTGGCCGACGTCGACACCAAGGTAAGCGCCCCTCCCCGTAGCAGCCCCGCGGAGGGTCTCTCTGCAGGATCGTAAGGGGAGGCCTCGGCTAAGGAGTTGCCAGGATTACAGGGACTTTTCTTTTTATTCCCTTATCCTCTCTTTTCCCTAGTCCCCACCCAGCCCCGTTATGGAGGCACTCGCCCCAGCCAACGGGGTCAGCTGTCAGCGGTGGCGAGAGTTGCAGTCGCCCGGCTTCCCTGCCTCTTCGGCTGGAGGAAGCCGACACACGAGTTCGCAGGAAAACCATCTCATAGCCTGCACTGTATCCCCTCTGATCCAAACTCCCTGAGGTGGGGGAGCTTTGCTGGCTCTTGTGGTGTGGTCTATTCTGGGAAAGGTATACACAACCCCAGACAAAACATTTATTTTCCTTTGGTGGTCACATGGCTTGCACTCTTGTTTTTGTGTTTTGTGCAAGTCGGAGTACAAGATACACCCGTGTTAACATTCTTATGGAGTCACAGAGGTTTTGGAGCATCTTTGTAGCTTGTCTTTGGCTTATAACTTCCTGTATATGTTTCCTGGGGGGGGGTGCTTTATTGTTATTATTAGTCAACTCTCAAAAAGAGTAAAATAAACCAAAATAAATACATTCCAGTCCATGTTACCACTGAAAGGACTATAACTTAGTGGTAGAACTAGAGCATCTGATTTGCGGGCAGAAGGTTTAATCCTTGACATTTCTAGGTAGGGTTGGGAATGGTTCCTCTCTGAAACGCTGGAGAGCCGTTGCCAATCAGTGTGGACAATACTGAGCTAGGTAGACCACTAGTCTCACTTGGCATAAGGCAGCCTTCTTTGAACATTGAGCAGACAAGCATCATATAGTGGTGTCCACATCAACAACATGATTTTATTCCTTTGTGTTTTGGAAGTTAACCCCACTACATTCAGTGGCCTACATGTAAATAGGCATAAATGATAGTCTGTCTAAACCTTATAAAGGAGTAGGAGGAGGGTATGTTGGTCCTGTAATCCATCAAGATTTTCTGGGGGATGCAGGTACATAGATATTGGCTGAATCTCATTGAACAGGGTATTTAGGTGTGTAACCCACAACAACTGAATTTTACCATGGCCTCGCAGACACTGATTGGAGTCTAGCTGGAGTTTTATTCCAGGATTTGAATGACAGAGCTAGTTGATTATGGAAAAATCAATTTAGGATATTCCAACTAAACATTAGGAAGGACTTTCTATCTGTAAGAACTGTTTAACAGTTGAAAGGACCAACTCAGGAGGTGTTGGAATCTTCTTCAACTCCAGCTGTAGTATACTTATTCTACGATGTGTATGTGCATGTAATTTTTCATGGCTACATTCACAATTTGGTTTTTCATAGGTAAAAACAAACCTGCTAAAGGCAAATGACGCCAATCCTGTTGAAATTTAATTGTAGGGTAAATAAACAAGTGTGTTTCAGTGTGGTGTCAGTGGTCTGTGTGGATTTTGAAAGAAACACTTCAGGATTATATTAATTGAGCTATTTTGTTTAGCCAGCCTACCAGAATTTGAGACAGAAAGTGGACAACTTTGTGTCTACCCACCTGGATAAGCAGGAATGGAACCCAGCAATGAACAAAAACCAGTTGCGGAATGGCTTGAGGCAGAGCGTTATTCAGTAAGTAAAAGCTGCTAAAATATGGGACAATAATGAATTGTTTTTTAACTCATGAAGGTAACCTACATTTGCACAAGACCCCTAAATTTTGATGGGATTGTCTAAGAAACACTTCTGGTAGATTGTGGCTCTCCATCCATTGAAATTACTCAAAATTTCATTGCTAATCAACACCATGTTTCTTCAGGAGTGTCACTTGTGGCTGTCTAATGGAGATCTGCACGCATCCACAGCTTTAAGAGGGAAAGAGCATCTGATGAACTTGCAGTCTTAGTTCTGTTTGCTTTTACCAACTTCCAGCATGAGATACAGTAGCATGATGAGCTTAATGTCACTGGGGTTGGGGTGCTGTCCAACAGAGTGAAGTAGTGTTTTGCTCCTTGAACTATTGCTGTAGTGTAACTAATCCAGTTCACTAAACACAACGTGTTCTTTGCAAACACGTTCTTCCCTAATTTTGTTGAAGGCCAGGCTGGGTTAGCTGTATGTTCAATGTACATAATTTTAATTTTATATAATAAGCTGCTGTGTTCCTGACTGATAGTGATAGGATTCAAGAAATGGTTATTGAAATGTGCTTAGAATGAGAGCGGGAGGTGACTTGCAAGCTTTACGGAGTACTTCCATGAAGTTGCTTGGAAGTCAGTCCCATTGTATGCAGAGATGCTTTTTTCCATATATGTGTGCATAGGGTTGCAGCCTTAATTTATTAATCTGCATTATGGCAGATTAGTTATTTAGAAGACTTGTAGCTTGCCTTTTGGCTACAAGAGGCTGCATGGTGGCGTACAAAATAAATTTAAAACAAATACAGATATAAATCATAGTAATAGCACAATAAAATTAAAAAGAACTAAGTTAAAAACTAAAGCAGTACTGAAAATCAGCAGAATTCAAAGTTAAAATGATCCCCAATGCCTGGTGAAATAAGGTAAAGGACTCCTGGATGGTCCAGGTCCAGTCAAAGGCAACTATGGGATGTGGCGCTCATCTTGCTTTTCAGGCCAAGGGAGTTGGCGTTTGCACACAGACAGCTTTCGGGTCATGTGGCCAGCATGACTAAACCGCTACTTGCACACAGAGGACCGTGACGGAAACCAAAGCGCACGGAAATGTCGTTTACTTTCCCGCCGCAGCAGTGCCTATTTATCTACTTGCACTGGCGTGCTTTTGAACTGCTAGGTTAGCAGAAGCTGTGACTTCATACAATTATTGAAAAAGCCTTTCCTGCCAACCATCTGTACCTCTGAAAGCAAGGAGTGCAAGGTCTCTGACAGTCATAAAACAGCAGACAGACTCTGGTGGAAGATGGTCCTTTGAATTGCCTCGCCTCAAATTATTTAGGAATTTATTGGTAATCACCAACACCTTAAATTGTTCCTGGAAAGAAGTAAAAAAACTGCTCCTGGATGCTTTGGTTGCTGCTGCACTCCTAGACTACAGACTTCGGGGTTTTTTGCCCACATACAATCTGTGGTAGTGTTCAAGCAATGGTTCATTACCTCCATTGGATGAAAAAGAGAAAGCTGGGTGTTATATACATTTGGCAATATCATACGAAACTTCACCAGGAAGTGGTTTGACCATGACAATGTGATCGCTTGGACAACCCTTCCTGTGTTTTCAAACCATCCATTTCATCATCACCAAAGACTTAAGTTGAGAGTGTGCCCTGCTACATGTATTGCTTGATGTCAAATTGAGGCAGCCCCATGCCTGCCATGAAAACCATGAAATCTAGAGGTGGTCTTGGCATGAATACTAGAGAAGCCTTCATTGGGGTGTACAGTCAGAAGTAAATGAACATGGGCTGTAATAATTATGATGAAGCTTAAATTTAAAAATGACAGGGACCATTCACAAAACAATATTGCTAAAATACCTGACATCTGGGCATTGAGTGTTGGCATTAAACTGTGAGTGTTGTCCATAGTTGCAGACAGTGAACCTATAGGGTGTACATAAGTCTGTTTCAATGGCTGTATGACTCCATCAACATAAAGCACAGCTTACATGCTAGGTGTTTCTCTTGTATGATAAGCTCATGGTAAGTTATTGTTGAAACATCCTGAATTGCATTTATAAGCCATCTTCCTTGATGGAGGCATGTTCAGGTTAAAACCTCTAGTTCCATAATTTTCAGTTGTGAAGTAGGACAGTGAGGGCTCATCCACAGGTCCATGTGTTTTTGCTCCCCCCCCCCCCCACTAAATTGGAGCAAATGTCAGTATGGAGAAAACACAATTGACGTTTGCTCCAATTCAGCAGTAAACAGTGGATTTCCCCAGAGCAAAGCAGTGGGGTAGCAGGTGTGGATGAGCCTTGAGACAGTGGTTACTATGAGAGCTTTCCCCAGGCCATCTTGTAGTCAGATTCATGTGCCTCTGAAGTGGTTCAGCCATGGAGCAGAAGTTGCTTATGCATTGTGCTCCATTGATTCTGTAACAGGTTGTTTTGCTGCAAGCAGTCAATGGCGGGGAGACATGCTAAGCTCGTCATGTCCTGGTTGACTTCCTTGCTCAGTTTTTGTATGGTTTCGAAACATGTTGTGTACACCACCAGCTGAGTTCTCTTTTGTTTGCCTTCATTAATTCTGGGGATGCACAAATGCAGACCCTTCCAGACAGCCTGTTTAAATGTACAAATTTGCTTGTTACCCCATTTCTAGTGCAGTTAGCACATCACTTTTCTCACTGCAAAAAGTCCGGTAAGAAAGGTGATCGGAAATTAGGCTTAAAATTGTGCGACAACAACCCCTAGCTGGCAGTGCCATATAATCTCCGCACAAACGTGAACGTTCAATAAACTGGTGTTGTATAACCTCTGCAAGTTTTGCATGACTATAGTGGCATGAATGCTTTTCCAGCAGCCAGTCTGGAAGCTCCTTGTGTCTCCATCTGCTACTCTAAGTACCCAGGGGGCCCTGCAATGAGAGTATTGCTGCAGCTGTAGAGGGCCTGCCCACCAGGCTGGCAGCACAGCAGCACCAACCTGCATTGCACGTAGCTGCCATTTTTAGTACGTGGCACAGTGCACAGGCTGCAGGAGCTGGAAGAGCATTGGAACAATCTGACCCTGGAATTTGTGCCAGGCCAGGCATGCCCTTCATGGAGACCAAGTGTCAGAGACTTCAGATCTTCTTAAGTGCCCACGTAGACTCAAAACAATATTGGCTGTTTGGGTGTGTTTTTTCTACCCAGGCGGCTGCTTCCCAACGGCTGTGCAGTGTCTCTGTGTTTGCCTCCCCTGGCCTGTTGCAGACATGACTTAACCCCACCAGACAGCCCATGCCCTGCTCTTTTTATCCAGCACAGCCTTGAAGTAATAAGTCGCTTTTTGGTTTCTGACACTGTTCCCAGAAAAGCTCTTTGTCTTGTGTTGCTTGTGTTTATTTTTGTTTGTCTTGTAAAAAGTGCCGGTGTGTCTAGACTGGCAAATGTGGGGAGCAGCTGATCGTGGCAGGTCCTGGGGTGAAGGCCGCCTTTCTGCTTTTTCGCCATAAGTGCACTAGCCAAAAAGATCACCTCCCCTCATATCCCGCCTATCTCCTCCAGTGTGATGTTTTTTCCTCTTGTTGATGCCAAGTCAGGTTTTATTTGCTGCTTTGTGTGCCATGGACACCCTGCAGTGGCTCCCACCCAGCATACATTTTTTTAAAGCAGTTGGGTGAGCAGATGTCTGCTGCAGGTTCTGCTGGGGCCCTCAAAGGCAGCTGGTTCAAAACCTCTTGGCTTTCTTTTCACCGGGTAGAATGCCTGTCTAGTGATACAGGAGCTACCAAAAGAGCCATAGTTCACACCATGTTAATGCTAATTGCAGCTGACATGACGGCTGTGGAGGGCTCCAGTGGGGGGAAGAAGGGAAGCTTTCTGGAGGAGCTGAATGACTCCTTTGTCTCTGCCCCAGGTCGGGGATGCTGGAAGCTGGAGTGGACAGAATTATTTCTCAGGTGGTGGATCCAAAACTAAACCACATCTTCAGGCCACAGATAGAGAAGGCAATTCATGATTTCCTGGCTGCACAGAAGAAAGAGGACTCGGTGCCAGCTCCTCCCCCGGAGCCGGAGAGTCAGGATCCTTCCCCTCCATCTCAAGATGCCTCGTAAGGTCTGGTATTGCCGCTTCTCTCCCTTCCCCCTCTGCATGCACTTGCAGCCCTTTTGTGTCATCACTCATGTGAAGAATGTCAATGGCACTAGCTAAAAGGCCAGAACATGCTGGGCTAGTGCCAGAATTGCTGCGAGAGGAAAGAACAAGCTGTGATCTTTCAAGATCACAAGCCTCCTTAACGGAATATGATTAGAAACTTCACTTTATTCTTTTTGGCTTCTTTTCTTCTTAGCAGCAATGCACCTTCAAATAGGCTATGGACCTACTTGGATTACTGAGGAACTGCTTGGGCACAAAAGAGTAAAAGATATGCATAAGGAAGATGCTATCTGGAAGATCTGGGAGCAGAGGCTGGCTCTAATGAGAGTCCATTAATTCTGTGGACCAAGCAGTTCTTGGAAAATGGGGAGAGCTACTTCAGTTTATTTGCAGAGGCATCTTGCTTTGGTTGATTTAAAGTGCAATCTTATGGATGTAAAGCTACAGGTCAGGCAAGCTGTCTGAATAATAAAAATTGCTAGTGGCGTTCTTCTATCCCAAGATGCCATACTTGGCACTACAAAACTAAACATTCTGCATCAAGAAGTAAACAGCTTTGAGGGTCAAGCAGTACATAAATTTTATAAAATAAAATAAGAAGTGATGGATTCTGCTGGGGATCATAATTTTTTATTGCTTTGTATCCTCTCCTGGTCACTTAGGCGTTCTGAGGTTGTGCCATCTTATCCTCTAGGCCTGCCTCCCACAGCCTGGTGCTGTCCAGATGTTTTCGGCTATAATTCCCATCAGCCCCAGCCAGTGATCAGGGATGAGCGGAGTTGCTGTAAATCAACTGCAACCAGGTTGCAGAAGGCTATTATAGCGTGCATGCCCTCAGCAGAAGCCAAATGGCCATGGAAGAAATGGATTGGGCAGTTTGCCATCTCCTGTTAATAGAAGCCTACCAGCAGATCATCAGATCTGACTTTCCCTTCTGTAGATTGGTTGACTGTGAGTGGACAGGTGGACAGGCACAGGGCCTGGCACTCTTCAATGCAGAGGAGATGGTCTGGTGTGCAGAGGTCCAGAAGTGGAGAGAGAAGGGAAAGGGCTGGTCTCTGACATCATGCTTTATGTGCCTCCAAAGTCCAGTGCAAGGTCTGACCCTCTTCTGGGCTCAAAAGAAGGGTGGAGATTCTCCCTGACATCACACTGTGCATTGGAGGCACTCTGAAGCTGCCATCTTTGCTGTTTTCAAGCCTCTCATTACTTGCCACGGTGTTGGGGATGGAATCCTGCCCCTCACTGATAACCACAGCTTCTGGCTTTGGAGAGACTATATCTGTGGTTCTCTGCCATTGTGCCAGTGCTGAAATTATGTCTTATTGCCACTGCATACTGGTGCACAGGATCAAGCTGAAGACAAACTGTGCAACCAGGTTTAAGGTGGATCCAAGGCCCTTTTTGTTTTTCCACTACTAAACTTAAATCATGCAACATTGTGGTATTTGGTGGCTTCAATTTTTGTATGCTCACATGAAACTCCCAACTAAAACTTTAAATCCCAAAAAGGTAGCAGTCTCAAAATTGGTGCAAGTAACTTTATAATTAAGCAGCAACTGTCTTTTAACTTTACATTAAGCCCTAATTGTTGTCTCTTCCTTTTGCAGTGCATTTCTGACGTTAAAGCGGCTGCAGTTGCAGAACCCAGACTGAATCTGGCAGTGGGCTACATACATATCTGCAGGAATACAGTTTGTCAACTAATATCAACCGTGGCTGAAGGGAGGTTTTGGCAAAAGTCACATGTGGTTTCTACGTAGTGCAGAGGGATTGGTTAAATGTTGAAAATGTATTGCTATGGGCAGAAGTAGCATGTGTCTTCACTAATTCTGTATTTGGGGGATTGTTGCCACCTTTGTGGAAGCGGTAGGGTGAAAAATGGTTCTGGTGTGATATTAGTGAAATTGACGGTGGTTGGGATGTAGCAATAGGAATAAGGGGGTTTGGGGTATGCCTGGTTTCCTGGGAGGCTACAGTCTGTTGGGAACCTTTCTAGAGGGGTTTGGACAAGGGGGCGTTCAGTGTACGAGCATGAAACTGATCATTTACCAGCAAAGGATCACAGAGTGCTGGATGCTTACTTAAATTCAGTAATAACTCACAGTGCCCACCTACCTCTGACACAACTGTATAAATGGTCCATTGTTGGCTATCTGGGTATATCTAGGGGCAAGCAATCAAGCCTCTGTCAAATTTCTGGAAGTGGTATGCACCATGCCTTGCAGCTCGGCTCTTTGGCCAGGCTGATCAAGAAAGTGTGTCAAAGTGAGTGTGGAGCAAGAGACTTCTTTTGTGAGCCTTTCAACCGAGGGAATGTTCTCTTGCCTGTGAGATTCTTCAGGTGCCTGTTAGAAGCTGCTTAGAGGGTTGCATAAGCTCTCAAGTAGGCATTTGTGCTCAAGTATTTGACTAGCAAATATCCAGAATTTTTTTTATAATAAAATACTAGAAAAGCCTAGTTGTGTGAGAGATTTTCTTTCGATACAATTCTTCTCATACCCAGGAGGTGATGTGCCAACACAGTGGTCTCCACTGAAAGATAATTGTCCACCTTGAATTTCTTCAGGGTCTGTCAGGTTGCAAAGCTTTAAAAAATAATAATCAACTTCTTGACATTTGAATTACTATTCTCATCACATTGTGTTTCCTTATAGCAGTCCCTTCACTGTGACTAGAACATAGTGCTCTCTATAGAAAGCAGCGCATGAATATTTCTAATATTCACAGAACAATCCAAACCCTGGCTGGGGAGCAGTTAGGCAGAGCTGAGCAGTGGATCAGCAACCACATCTGAAGCTCTGCCACTTGTACCAACCAAAGTGGGCATTTTTGTTAGTGATTTTTGCTGCACCAGCTCCAAGGTTGAAATGAGAGACACCATTTGGGCCCCCTCTCAAGGGAGATGGAGCAGCTTTGGCTCCTTGGCTGACTGTTCCACCCCTGCCCTTATAATGATTTAAGTCAAGGACCTACACTTGCTACCTCAGCTGCCTGCATTTTTCGGGGGGCACAGCAGTGGCCTCTGCAGTGGGGGGGGGGGTGGCGCTGCTGGCAGAGCCCAGTGGAGGGATGCTTCCAGCAGCCCAGGTCTCAGGGTTTAGGATTGCTCTGTAAGGAAGCAAGTGATAGGAGAACGCACAGAGGTGTTATTTAAGGGTGGAGTTTTTTTAACATTTTAAGAGGCTGCAGACTTTGGAAATATTAAATGTAAGTGTCAGGTGTTTAGTACGTGAAACTTCCTGACATGGATACAAAGGAATGTGTTATGCTTCAAGCAATTTTTTTTTGCACAGTGTATTTATTTATTGTGTTCTGAACTGTTTTGAAAGGTAATTATTGTAACTCGCCCTTGGATCTTAGGGTGAAGAACAGGTAATAAATCAAAATAATAATAGTAGTAGTAGTAATAATAATAATAATCAGCAGCAGCAGCTTGGGGAGATGGCTACTGCTTTTCAGTTGTAACAGAAATTCTTGTGTATCTGCCTAGAAAGCAGTTGACACCAACAGAGTTTCTGTCGAGACGTGTCATTGCCCATGCACCTGAAATTTGTGCACCTAGTGCCAAATGATGACATGAAGGATCATCTCATTCCCTTATATATCCAGTCAATCACTGTGCTCCGCAGGTGAGGGCATCCTGCAGATACTGTCTTACCAGGAGGTCCAAGATTGGGATTGGACCTATCCTTTGGAATTTCCTCCTGTTAAATATTAGACAGGCGCCTTTCTGTTGTTTTCCCCCAGCACCTACTGAAGACCTTCCTCTTTTAAGTAGAGGGCTTTCCCAATCTGCATGTGCTGAAATTGTTTTTAAAATGTTTTAATTGTTTTGTGGCTTATGTATTTGCTGTCCTGGGCTGCTTTGGGAGGATGATGAGAGATAAATTTAATTACTGAAATAGAAATCCAATAAATAGTGGCAAAAGGTAGAACAGGAGGAATTCTCAATTGGTTTAACAATAGAAGGAACAAAATGGCCCCCTGCCCAAATTATATTGCTGAAATGAAAGTATGAAAGCTTGGTTTGACCAGGAGTAGATTTGTGTGTGCAAGGACTGTGAGCCCTGCTCAGTTCTGGCACTCCTGGGCTTGGAATTCTTTAATTCTAAGTTTGTGCCTTTTATACCAGGTTCTGTTTGGTGGGTCTCAGGGTTCTAGGTCTGTTTTTGATGATGTTATACTAGAGTAAGTATTTGTAAAGTGATATTCTAATTTTGGTAGAAGGCTTTGGATTCAGTTAGAGTAGAAGTGTATATGTCTGTTTTTGATTTGGATTTCATTTCAAAGGTAGGGTATTTTTAGAAATGGGGGTGGGGGTTGGTTTATAAAAGTACAAGTTGCTGTATCAGAAGCATAATGCACCTGCACTAGATTTGTAAAACATATTTATCCACTTCATCCTTTCATATCCACGCTTTCTTTATGCCAGCCTCAAATCTCTGCTTCAGCAACCTTGAATTGAAAACTGGGGAGAAGGGAGTACTTCTTGACTCACGTAAGCCATGTGAAAGTACTGGTTGCCCTTAGCCAATTCTTTGGCAGGTTATGAAGTGTCCCAGTAATTTGTCGATCCCTTTCACTGATCTGTGCAGCCTGGCCCCAGTGGCTGAATATAATATCCAGTCCATGGACCTGGCTTCTCCTTCCAAGCCTATTTCCCCCCCCCCTCCCCTGCTCATATATGACCATTATTCAATCTTGGTTCCCCTCCTTGTCCTTTCATAGCAAGGTCCTTCACCTTGTGGGAATCCTGCAGAGACTTGGACTATCTCAGCAGAGTAGCTCCTGGCAGTAGGCAGCTTCCAGATACCATTTTTTGCTTTCTTGGTATCTCTCACTAGGGTGGTATGGGAAATGCTTTCAAAGAGATGGGAGTGCAAATGCTCAGCTTTCACAGGAGCCTAATGACACCTTGGCTTCACACTTGGGACTTTCCCTTTGTCCATC